GTGGTCTTGCTCCATTGGCCACACAGGAACACAAAGTGACATCAATATCTGGGATCAATCGCCCCTCCATCGGCTCTTCCTTTCCCAGAATTTCATTGAGAACATTGACTTTGAATTTGAAGTTGACGGAGAACACTTCAATATGCTGTGGTGTCTTGTGGACGGGATTTACCCTGCTTCAGCAAGATTCGTGAAGACTGTCAGCTTCCCTATCGGTCATGCCGGTAAGATGTTTGTTGAGTGGCAGGAAGCAGCAAGAAAGGATTCTGAAAGGACTTTCGGCATCGTGGTACGTAAGTTTCAGATCCTTGCAAGACCCATCGAGTATTGGGATTTGGATGATGTGAAGAATATCACCTACGGCTGTTTTGTCATGCACAATATGATGGTGGAGCGCCGTGTGAAGGAAAACCAAAGGGAGGATGCTGACATGTACAGGCTGCTTTGTGATGGGGAAGGTGCCGACGAGGAGAAAGAGGTAACGTTCTGAATGATTTCACTGGATTTGCAAGAGGTTTCGCTCTAAGGAATGAGGACGTTGCTTATCAGATGGCGAAGGCAAAGGAAAAGTGGACCAACCTCAACAGTGATGCCCGCCATGTCCGTCTACAGCGATCAATCATGAACCACATCACGGCATCTTGGATCCAACACAAGACAAGCGGCAAGAAGTCATCATCATCTTCCTGAGTTTTCTTCCTCTTGTCAAGTTGTGCTGTTTCGAAAGTTCGAAACTGCACCAATTCAGACGCACTGGACTCGATACTTCTTTATTGATCTCCGTATACTTTGCAGTACTGGCAGGCACAGGTAAGACAGATAAAACTCTAGCAGAGGCGACTGGCTCCCACTGACTAAGCTGGACTGAGCTGACTGGCTCATATTAATTGACTCCGAACAAGTAATCGTCCTGTATAAACCAATACTATTTTATTGAACTACAACTATATATCTTGTTTGCCTATCACCATGACGCTATTGCAGTTGCGGAATCATGTCTCTTCTTCATTGTCTGGTCTTGGAACATCAAGATGCCTCCACGATGGTCAAAACGGTGGTCTTACAGCCTTCAATCTTCAGAATTCTCGCTGGTTTCTTCCTCTTTGCTATCTTCCTTTTCCATGGAAACAATTTCCTTCTGCAACCAGAGAATGCTTCTCTTCTGCAAGAGCTTCTTTTCCATTGCATTGTTCTTGAAGTACTCTTCTTTGTCTGCATCCGACCATTGCAAGACTGAAACCTGGTCAACAAGATGGGTGGAGATCTGACCAATTGCCTCACTGACCGACACAGCTTCCTTCATGGCAGACTTCCCTTCATTGGCACCATTGCTGTCGATGAAATGCTGAATCTTGTCATCCAGAGCCTGTTGTCGCTTACCAGTACCACGAGGTTTCTTGACGTGCTTTTTGCCATCGGATCCCTTCCTTCCAGTCTCTTTCGCGGCGGATAACTTGGGAAAGTCCTTGAGGACATAGTAGCACTCGATGAAATTGAACTTGCTACCCACGGCATGCTCATACATCTCCAGGCAGCGAGCTTTGTGGTCTTCTGGTGTCTCACCAGAGCGGATGGGATTCTGATTGACAATACCAATCAGTTTGTTGGTGGCATGCTTGATGACTCCAAAGCGATTGACAACACTTCGTTGCTGACGATCACGAGAGAGCTGTTCCTTGTAGTACTCGTTGTGATCATCAACCTTGCTCACGTAATTGGAGAAGAACTTCTTGTTGAAGTCAGCCTGCTTTTGGTCACTGCCGCTGCGAGAATCTTCTGTGCTGGTACACCAAGCTTCAGTGACAAAGAGGTCTTCCTCAGAGGTAAAGTTTTTGCCGCGAGTTTTCTTTTCCTGCTTCTGGGTGTTGTTGAGAAACTGAGACAGCTGTTCCATGTCTGCCTTCTTCTTTTTGTTAGGATCCACAGCGGCAGCCACAACTACCTCCTCGTCGGTGTCATCATCATCGTACGAATCTTTCTGGGTGGCCAACATGTCTGGTGACTCGTCGGTTGGCTCCACATCTTCTTCTTCGCTATCTGATTTCAAGTTCATGCACACTCCACAATGAAAAATTCTAGGGGAGACCTCCTTGGAACAAGGTTCAATGGCATGGCAGTACATGCCACAAGAGCTGCACTTGTGACGGTTGCATTCAATGCCAGGATAAGGGCACTTGTCCATCAATGCTTCACAGCGAGCTTTACGGGTGCTCTGAAGAGGAGGCATGGGTGGAGTACTCGAACGTGCAGGAAGCACAGCGGCAGCAGCAGCGGCAGCTGGGGCAGTGGCAACTGGTGGTGGTTTGGGACTGGCTCTGCGTCCAAACTTGGAATTAACGAGAGTTGACTTTCCATTGCCAATCTTCCTCTTGTTGTTGTCGCGGCGACCCACCTTCTTGTTGTTGGTAAAACCCATGAGTAAAGCGAATTAATCCTGGGACCAAGGAGACCACGGGGATATTCCTAGGGAATTAGAGTGCTGGTTGACTTGAGGAGGAGTGTCCACTTGCTCTTGCACAGGTTCCAAGAGATTACGCGTGTCTCTGCCAATGACAATATCAGGAGAGGATGCGTACTGCGTCTCTTCTTGCTGTTGGGTTTCGAACTGACTGAGATGGTCTGGATTGTTCCAGGAAGACATCCCGAAACTATGAACAAGAAGAAGGAGGAGCGATGGTACGTTGACTATTCTATACAGACAAAACCCATGATATTTCGTTGCTACGCAAAAGCTAATCACATGGTTTCTCATTGTCTATTGTCTATCTGAAGATCTTCCTTGGCTGGTGGCAGTAAAACTTGCCTCCAAGACAGAACGATCATTCAATGTATCCATTTTGAATACATTCAATGATGCTATTTGGTGTCGAGTTCCTCCATTAGCAGCTCACAGCAAATTGGACGAATTTGGTGTGAGCGGCCACCTCCTGTAAAATGTGCGCAAACATTTGGTCCTAACGGAAGCTTAAAATGGGCCGTTCATGGTGACCATGGCCTCCTTTACGCGCAAAACCTGAGTAAGTGAGTTTGCGCTTAAATTTGATGCCACTGTTGATCGTGCTCTAATGAAGTTTAGTCGAGATTTTGCGGTCTTTTTCAAAGGGGAAATCAGGAGGACTATTCAATCATTCAATCCGAATCCGTGGTACCGGTATGGCGAGTACTTTTCAAACATCTCGAGGATTTTCTACGCTACCGGCAGTATCGATAATACTGAGTACATAGCTTGCTGCTTCCTGGGGGAAATCACTGAGTCTACCAAGAGCATGCCAAGTACCGGTAGGCAGGTTCACATACAGGTATTGTTGGATGCTGACCAGTGCTTATTAGCGTTCAGTACAGATGCGACAATGCGACATAAAGTCGTTGCATCTACGGGGGGACTCTGGTGCCGTCAGCGCCAGGGTACCCGCATTTCAACATTTGAGCGTAGAAGGAAGCAGACAGTGGGAAAAAAGGAATAGCTAATCTGCTATAAAGAAATGACCGTCTACAAAGCAGTCAGCCATGTAGCAGCCCCAGAGTTTGCGTTGTTTCGAGGAAAGCAAGGATTCAACCTCTTTGGCTGGTTCTGACCAGCAGCTAAGCATCCTTGAAGAAGACAACAATGTTGGTTGGAACAACCATGACAAGAACTATTACAAAATCTTAGCTTTTGCAGGCGACATAGATGGCCGGCAAGTACGCTGTAGGAGCAAAACTGCAGCGACCGTACGTGCCATTGAAAGAAATCCAGGTAGAAGCTCAATCTCCTACTAACTAGTCTTTGCCACCACTTTTCAGCAGCTGGCTTGAAATGCTCAGCAATCTGCCTACTAAAAACGAAAGATACCACTTGCTTGGATCTCTGAATCTACCTCTTGCTGGCTTGGTAGGATTGAATATGGCCAAACATGATTGATTGCCCCAAGCTCTACCGATAGCAGACACGTACATTAGACTACATGTACCGGTCGGAGAAATACTAAGATACTAGTACTCTCTGGCTTTCTCCCCCACTGTACTAGTACCGGTACAGATCACGGCGGATTGATTCGATTCTGATTCATTCGCGTCTTGCGCTCTGCAAGGGATCATTCGATTCGATTGATCATTCGATTCGATTCATCGTTGAGCTCGCAGAAACAAGCCGGGCTAGCCAGTACTGTACTAGCTAGACTGGACTAGCTAGCTAGACTAGCTAGGTAGTAGAGCGATTCATATGCGGCCTCGTCGAGAGGCGGAACCAGGGTGTGGTACTCACACTGTTTTAGCATGTGAGTATGGGTACTGAGTAGTACTCAGAATTGTGGAGGTCATGTGAGTACGGGTACTGGGTAGTACCCACAATTTCTGGGGTCAAGTGGGTACAGGTACTATGTGAGTACAGGTATTTTTTGGGTACTACGGAATACTCACTGAGTGCTCATATATCAATTACTTAGAGAATTTATCTTTGCAATTGGGCCCAAAGTGAGAAAATAATGATCTTTTTGCTGTTTCGCGGTGAGAAAGTACCGACCAAGTACTCACAAAGTACCCATTCAGTACTCATAGTACTTGGTGAGTACTGATCGAAAGTACTCATCGAGTACCCACCGAATACTCACAAAGTACTCAGAATCTGGAGGTAAGTGAGTACGGGTACTGAGTAGTACTCACAATTTCCGAGATCATGTGAGTACGGGTACTGAGTATACTCAGTACTCAGTACCCGAGTACTCGCTGCAGGTACGGTACTCCATGTGAGTCCCACACCCTGGGCGGAACCGAGGTGGGACTATCTTGGACTTTCGTAAGATTCGATTCGATTCGATTCGATTCGATTCGAAGGACAGGAAACTATCCGTGACTTTGTCAACCCTTGGCGACTGTCCCGATCTTCAGCCTCCAGCCTAAATGGTTGATGATCAATTATTTTTAAAAAAGCATAGAAAGGCTCTCTCAAGCAATTTAGACACCGCGCCTTAAAAAATTTGCTACATGAGGTATAGTAGACTAATAATAAGGAAAATTTATTATGTATGTGAACAAAATTCTTGCAAAACTTGGCTCTGGCTTGTGGCTATCGTAGCTAGGCAGCAGGAGCACTATTGAACCAGCGCTCCTTGGGCATTCCAAAGTAGGGGTAGTAGAAATCCAGATCATCGTAATCCAGATCACCCTCGCCGGAATACCAATCATGCATACCGTCAAGCGTATCGATTAGCCATTCCAGGCAGCGGCTGCTCTGTTGGAAGTTGCCATTCTGTTCAAAGACATGTCCCATGTTGTTGCAGAGGCAGCACTGCATTCGCCAAACCATGGAGTTCCAGTCGCCACAGGCTGGAATATTCTCCAGGGATGCTAATGCCAGCTCATACAGCTTCATGGCCCGTTGCAGTTCCAAGGAACTCCCAACCACGAGACCCAACTGATGCCTGATGCTCCCCAAGTTGAAGAGCAGGACCATTGTCACCAAGGAGACGCTGTCTTTCGGATACATGTATTCAGTGGGCAAAAGGAATAGGCTGTTGTTAAAGGAAAATGATCCATCCCACTCAGGGTACGAGGGGCCCAATTGCACCAAGTCACGGTTCGACCAAGCCGCCGATTGATTGACAGTGGCCGCATCCATACTGCGAGGGTCAGTCTCAGGATCTTTCGCAAAAGCTGCTTTGAGCTCTGAAAGGGCCCCCATGAAGATTTCGACGGCTTCTTCGTGTCTTCCTTCCACAACCTTGGAAACTGCCAGGTTGTTGATTGATGCCACGGCGATAAAAGATCTCAGCGCAGCCATGGTTTCTTTGAAGAAGAGTTTCTATTACTGAGATAATTGGCAGGTCTGAGGAATTGTGAAGCTTTGCGAGGGAGAGAGATGAAGCGAGATTGGAGACTTGGAGACCAATGAGAACTTTGAAAGCTCTCTGCTCTTTTGCTTTGAGTTGATGAGTTGATGGTCAAATCGAAGTTGAACTTGGAAATCACGCAGCCTAGCCAACAGCCAACGACCAGAGCTTCTTGTTTTCCTGGTAGGACATCTTGGTTTGGAAGGAATCAGCTCCTTTGCCGTGCTCTTCTTTGTTCTTTGTGTCCAGGTGCATTAGCTAAGGGTTCAAAGGAAAGTGCTGCCCAAGTGTGAAACTGAATTTCACAGTTCCGCAGATTCATTCACCGGAATCTTGCCGAGGCAAAGGTGTGCTTCAGCGCATCAGCCCCCTCTTTTCCATCTACCTGTAGTATTAGCTAGGCCAGCCAGATGGGCCAATGTTCTCCAAGCAGGTTCAAACAAAATAGTACGACTGTACTCAGTACTGGTGTAGTATTAACAAGAGATCTTTGTGCTTTTGTGCTTTCTGCTTTGTGGTTGTGGGAATATCTTATTCCGAGATGCATGAAACGAGTTAAGGACGACGACCAGTAGTTACATTACAGATGACAGAAATGTCCGTTTATGCCGCCCATCCAGTAAGTTTGCAATTTATTAAATCACAGTTCGCCTCTTCTTTTCATAAAGACTGGCCATTATGCTCCCTTTTCTAGAGAAAGGACATTAATTTTCCGGAATAAACAGGAGCTGTTGCCCGTAACGGCTTTTCGCCTTCCATAACTTCCGCAAGGCTTCTCCGTTTCTGCAGCTACCGGCACGGTGGATTTATTGATCATGCGAGAGATCTAGTCTACTCATACCGCGGCCGGCAATATCATCTTTCGGTACAGTACGTGTGGGCTGATGCTTTTTGGACTTTGGACTGAACTTGAGTGCCCAATTTTAATTGTAAAAAATGAGATAAGACGATGCCTTCTGCATTGCCAGCGTTAAGGACGAGGTCATCTAGTGTCCCACTGATACCCAAGGCGCAAGGCCAGCAGGGCAACAGGGCAACCACCCAAACCAAAACGGATTATCAAACAGCCCTTCTAGATCTAGGCACCAAGTATCAGTCTGCTCGGAAGCAAGCAGGTACTTTAGTACTTTAGTAGCAGGTTTGTCAATGGTATCCAGGTATCCAAACCACCATTAGCTATCGCTATCTAGCTAGTACACTGCTAGTACTCAGTAGCTAGTCAGAGCCACCAGCCGGAATGGTCGGCAGTCAGCTGGCCGCTTGCTTTTCTCTCCTGCTTCTTCCAAGCTCAGGGAAGAGGGGGGAAAGGGCCATGGTGCGCCACTATCATCTTCAGCCCTCGGTATTATGTTGCCTGCCTCCTTTTTTGTCTGACCAGTCTCAGTGAAACAAGAGATCAAGAGATAGCTAGCTAGCAAGTACTAGCACTCGTATTCGTTCTTTGCAGTGATGTCCCACGTTCGGTTCGCATGTTCGCGGCATGACCAGAACAGGTGCTCAGAGAGAAGAGCACCAAGATACCAAGATCATGTTCAATTGATCTGTCTTTCTGGATATCGGCACCAGGCAGTAGCTCGATGCGAAGCAACATTCAGCCTCTACAGATACTAGTATGCATGGACGCTTTCAGCGGATCCAAAAGCACCGGGGTCTGGGATGGCAAGAACGCGTGTTCGAACGGTGGCAGTGTTGCAGCTAGCAGCTAGCAGCTAGCAGCTAGCCCTCATCGTCGATGTTGACGACTTGACTCATCATGCTTCGTCTGAGGATTGGAATCGAAAAGGTCTTGACCTGAACGCCCTGTTCCCAACACGTCACCTGACAGCTCTTTTGGTTTTGATCACCAATCGTCTTCGTGCGATTTCGGGTTCGAGAGTGTCCCATTGGCCCGGGCCAACGACAGCGCGAATTTCTACTGCATTATCACACCTTTGACTGGTGGCTGGGATGGCAATTGGGCACAGGTGCCAGGAACCGTCCACTCGGACTTGTTTGCGTCATTTACCATGGATGTCGCGATGTCGCAGGTACAACTCTTACATTTGGCAATAGTATCCTTTCGGAAAGACATAGAAGCGGAGCTACTCAATCTTTTAAGCACAGGTCTTGGGACGATGCGGTTGACCACATGAATGGAGTTCAATACTAGCAAGAAAATTTGTTTCGCCCTGAAGCGTCGATCCTGAAGCAACGCATGCTGCTTGGTGGCTGACCAACAAGGAACCCCGTAATGTTCCTAGTGATAATGAAAACATTGTTCTGGCAACGCGAGCCAATAAAAAGAACGCCATCGTCGGCAGTGTAGTATCATAGAGATGATGCAGTACCGGTACCGGTACCAGTAGCACGGCTCCAGTAGCATCAAGCCGGTACCAATGCCTTTAGGTGCGGCTGTAGCTTTGCCGTTTCAGCCTCCTGGGTACGTGGGTGCGTAGCGTCTCGTGTCCATGGCTTCCGCAACAAGGCTGTATGATCGTCCTCACGCTGCATTCGGTCAGCACGTCTTGAACCGAAGCAAACGCACGACCACGGCCTCACTGAAGGTGCAGAGTATGGTTTGACGTCTTTACAAATTCATCCTCTCGAAATATCTGTATTGACCGACACAACAGGCAAGGTATAACGACGTTTTTGCTCTCAAAATTCACGTCTGGAGCTGCAATTCACATCTATCTGGCAAGCGCTTTGGGACGCTCCGAAGAGGAAAGCTTCACCAAGAGCTACCAGTACGAGAGGCAAATCAAAAACTTCAGAGACACAAGAGACACCATGAAGGAAACACACACTACAGGAGAGAATTGGCAGGGATGCGACGACGATATCGACTCGGCAAAGGCGAAAGATACCACCATGGCTACCGGTACAGAATATGCCAAGCAATTTATCGTTAGTGACCTTGAGTCCTTGGAAAGCAAGGAGAGCATCCCACGTTGTCCTCCTGTTTGCCGTCCTTGGCGTCCCAGCAACCAAAGGTTTGAGAAGTCTGAAAGAGCGACAGTCATGCCTCTTCGCAAACCTCAGCGCCAGAAAACTACAGACATCAACCAATGGAAAAGGTGCGTAGACGACATCGAAGATCCCTCCTCGACGCAAGATGACGGTAGTACCATATTGGGAAAGCCCGAACGTTCACCAGCCACAGAGAAGGAAGGAACGAGCGACCTTGTTGCCCTGCCCTTTGCTGTGGCCGAGGAGAAAGAAAGGAATGAACAAGGCAAGTATTTGCGGGTTGTGGGCGCGGCGGAAACGGCAAGGCAGAAGAGGATTGCGTGGGGATCCATCATTTTGTTGGCTGCGGTCATGCTTCTTCCTCCTGCCCTTTTGATTCGCACGTTGCTGGGAAACGAAGCAGTTTTGGGCTATTGCTTTGGCCTCATGATTGCAGTGCTACCTTTGTCACTCGTCGCGAAGCTCGTTGCCTCAAGAACTGGAAGTAAGCTGGCTTTTGTTCGGAGCTCACCGGTCGGGTTGAGGAAGAGGACGGTGCCAAACAATTGGATCCTCCGCTGTCGAATGTCGGGCCTGTCTTTCCCGCAACTCCAAGCTACCGATTCTCCATCAGTTGCGCCTCCCCCATCCGCTGATGATGCCGCCCATCCAACCAAAGACAAAGAACCCTACAACGGTGACACCCGTACTCAAAAGGAAACCAATCCAGTTCCAGAGCCAGCAACATCCCCATCCCAAGAACCAAACAAACCTCAGGAGCCACCTGCACCAGTTCCCGGGCCTTCAAAGCTGCTCCCACCAAAATTCCTCTGCGACCTGTGTGGAGTGCAATTCAAGACTTGGCAAGAGCGGGATCGCCACGTTATGTTTGATACAGGGCACTTAGGACAAGTCTATGCCAAGAAAGGACTGGTCATTGACGATCAAGTTGCCGAGGAGGCCTGTCATCAAATGGCAGTCACCAATTCAGCTCTGGAGGGGGATGTTGACTATTCCAAAGTCACAGATTCCGCTCGAATGCTCCAGAGCGAGTACTATGATTCGGTTGTCGAAATGGCCTTGCTTAACTATGAATCCTTCCATAGCATGGAGCGTGGCACGGCAACGTTTGCATTGGTTAATGGGACCTCTGCAGGGATCCGAGGCTGGGCTGCTTGTGCCATTAATGATGTGCCAACACAAGACGAAATTCGACGAGAAGTGGAAGCAATGGTATGTCGTGTTTTTCCAGAAGAGCTTGACAACGTTAATAAAATGATGCTGCAATTCAAGGGCCGCGAAGAAGAGTTGGTGGAGACATTGAGGACTCTGCAAGAAAGAGGAGTGGCGCAAAAGGCACGCACAGCCACGAAGGACAAGAGGGGCGATTCACAAGTTGTAGAAAATGAAGTGTTCTTGTCAACACCGAACAAACCCACTGGTGTCACCAAAGAAGATTCGACAGAAAACAAGACATCCCGCCGGGGTGACCAAGAGGAGACCCAGATGTTGCGCCGCGCCATGATGGAATCCATGCTCGAGTTGGAAGGCGTTCGACCCCCTTGCCACGTGCATGAGAAGGATGAGGAATCCATCTGGAATTCTGAGGAGTTTGAATGCTACTCTGATGTGGACACCTCTTGTGCGCAATCAAACCACTGAGCAGTTGAACCTTCGACTTTTGCGTGGCGGTAGGAAAACAAAATCATGGATCTTTGGCACGCTTGATGGGAATGAAAGGAACCTCTCCCGTAGATTGCTGTAATAGTCTTGTGCTATATCTTTCAATGGCTGACGCACCCTTCCTTTTGTTGGGCTTTTTGTCGAACAATGAACAGCCTGAGGCGAAACACCAAGAAGCACAGGAGTGATGCGCCATAGCAATTAGTCGGCCCCAGACAAAGCATGACTTTGGGCTCCCCTCTGGTTTTGAGTCAGACCAGAAATGAGATATCAATTCTCATCATGAAGAATTTCAGTCCTATCGATCCTTTGTTTAGCTTTTCTCATCATTCTCAAAGGAAGAGCTTTGCAGTCACACGAAAACCCGATTGATTCGGTGGCATGCTCAACCAACGCACCTTTCCAGAACGGATTGCGGCAATTCTTTCAAAAACTTCCAACCCAGACTACTTTTCGGGGCGCATCAGATCTTGTTCAGCAGCTGTGAAGGCAATTCCACTGCGATCCTCGTGGCTGCCTCCTGATCGCCACGCAATGTAGTCTTCAATACTTGTTCCTTTTTGAGCAAGTGGAGTATCGTTGTCGGGATCAGCGAAAAAGGCAATGGAAGTTCTTCCTTGTGCCATGGCTTGCCGTAGCACAGAAGGATCGCTGGCACTGTTCTCCGAGGCAGGACCGGCGACCCGATGAAGCGTTGCCAATAATGGAGGCACGTTGTTCTTGTCGTCGTGTGCACTTGTCGTCGTTGTCCATTCACTGAGCAAGCTGCCAATATTGACCACCATGGCTCCGGGGACATGGGGGACAGGCCACCATTTTCCGTCTAGCAAAATCTCCAGACCCGACACGCCGTCGGTGGAAAGTAAGGTGCAACTGCCATAATCACTGTGGGCCTTGCAGCGATTGCCAGTTGTAGCAGTCGCAGGTGGATAGTAGAGCAACCGCATGGCGGAATGTTCACTTTGGGAGTGCCAAGCAGATAAATCCTCGGGATTTTCCAATACTTGCAAGCCAACTCCAATGGCTCTGAGGACGCACATTTTGAGTTTTTCACAGGCATTCCAGTATTCCATCAGAGCGGGAGTGAAATAGGGTTGCAGCAATGCCAATTCATCATCTTGTTTGTGCTTGGCATCGAGCATGACGTATGATTTCGGATCGGTTGGATGAGTGGTCACCAACGGATTCGAGGAGGAGCCAGTCAACCAGCTAGTGGCATCTTGTAGAGCTTGGTTTTGGAGTTCACGGGGCATGATATCAGATTGAATCAACAAGAATCCACTCCGTTGCAAAGCACTGACAACTTCCTTTCCAATTTCTTGCTGTTGCTGATGACTCGACTTGCCGCTGTCGACCAACCAAACCTCGGAAGACAGTGTAATCAGAGGAGCCACTTCGAATGGGGAGGATTCCATTATTAGGTTTGTCCAGAGCAAGAAGGCTGCAGGCAAGGAGAAGAAGGAGCGCAAGGCTGCTGCCATTGAGCGAAACTGACACAAGTGTGTTTTTGCCTGGGGATGGCGGTGTTGTGTTGAGTTACATGTAGTTGGTTTCTGGCCGTTGGATCCTTGCTCTTGGAGATTTCCACGACGTCCTCCGCTCGATTGTTTGCCTTGAAGACAAGACCACGCTGAGCAAAAGCGTGGAAAGTCCAACTTCGGCTGTTTCCGAAGAAGCGCCTTTTTCAAGAAAATAAATGTCTTATTGAAGGTTGAAGAACTCCCGAAGGCTATCGAACATCAGGCGAACAGACTGCTCTCTTGAAGAAACAGCTTTCAGAGTTTTAGGGGCCGTGGTCACCTACAGAGCTACATGTATGAGCTATGTATGATACGTACCGGTACCACGGTACCAGGTACATGTACATCCAGTTGTACTCCTGTAAAGTTGCACCCATAATAATTGCACAAGCGTACTGGTACACTGGTACCATACAATACCGTTCTGCCTGGCGGGAGCCTGGGACAGCTTTGAGTGTATGAAGATGCGGTAAAAGTAAGGCTTTTAAAATATATATTTACCTGAGCTACTGATCTACCAGAGCAGTGTTCCAGGACCAGAAATTGACTCGACTTGGCTACTACCGGTAGCCAGTAAGTACATGGAGCTGTGAATACAGTATGCACAGCCCGCCCAAGAGCGAGAGCATCTAGCCTAGGGTGGGTACTGGTGAGTAGGTTGGTGCTGGCTTGCGCCAGTGGCCAGAGGTTGTTGGTGGCCAGCTCCACTAGCTAGCTAGTAGCTGTACGCGCAAGAAGCGCAGTGCTAAGTCATCTCGCTGAAAAAGACTGTCGATGGTCTCAGAGGAGTCTTGTAAAGCTCGCCTGGAAGAGATTTGATAGATAGATGCAGGGGAACACGGAGAGGAAGAAACAATGGCCCGCCCAAACTGCCTTAGCTTCTTTTCCTTATCACCAAGCCAAACATTGTGTGGGCTTGTCAAGCACTAGCTAGCCAGCCAGCCAGTCGATGAGCAGGCAGGAAGAGTAAATGGCTGGTAATGGAGGCAGATCCAAGATAACAATGGACCAGTAGGCACAGAAGTAGGGTGCATCATGATGTATTATGTTTAATGTTGTTTATTAATGGAGAGCGAAGCAAAATTTGTGTATTAGTAGCCAGCCATGAAAGCAGCTAGCTGGAGAATAAGCAGAAGTAGTGTGGAGGGAGCTCATTGTTTGCTTAGGCAGCAGGCGCAGAGCGAAAGTGATTGTGGGTGGAACTGAACATGAGATACTGCGAGAAGAAGCAATAGTCGTCGTCACACATGGCGTTGCAGTTGCTGAACTCCTCCGCGTTGACGGTCCTTTGCAGCCACTCAAGGCAGAACTTGGTATCTTCAATATCGTTGGACCTGGCATGGATGTGACCCATGTTGTTGTATAGACTGCAAAGTAGCATGATTAGGTTGCCATCAAAGCCGTATTCTTGGAGGACGTTCTCAATGGTGGAGAAAGAGAGCTCGTAGAAGCGCATGGCCTTGGCAAAGTGCCATGACTTGCCGTATTGGATTCCCATTCGCTGGCTCACAGTGCCGAGATTGTAGGCTGAAGGTAGAAGAAGAAGGAGAATGCGTGTGTAAGTCAAGCTGTCCAAATTTCAATTCCAATTGTAGACAGTCAATCAATTGGCAAAACTTACTGATGACGGCGAGGAGCATGTGTTGGAGTTTCTCCAACTGAGCCGGACAGCAGCAGTGGGTTTGGGTGTTAGAGATCAGGAACACTTTATCGTAGAATTCAAAGGCATTTTGGACCGTGCCATCTTCTGTGAGTTCCTCGTTTTGAACAGCCGTAATGTTGAGCGGGGCTTGCGGTTCCTCTCTGTGGCAGCCATGGCAGCCGTGCTGACAAGAGGAGCAGGGAGGATGACTTCTCGTCTCGTTGGTTCCGACATGGTTGACCACGCCGCGGAGACCGGCAAGAGCATTCTGCAGATAACGGATGGCGTCTTCGTTCCTCCCGTTGCAGAGCATGGAAGCGGCAAAGTTATTCATTCGAATGATCTCCATTGTTTCCAGTTATTGGGTGGCAAAGTAGAAGAGAGAGTGAGAGAGCGTATTAGATCTGGCTATCTAGCTACTCGTAGAGTGAGATTGTGAGAAAAGTTGATGCAGTGTTGATGGACCAGCCATGGACACAGCAACCAACTACTAGCTAGTAGGGTTGCCCCAGAGGCGAACAACCCGGAAGATACACCAATCAAAAAGAATCATGTTATGTGCAAAGTTCTGAACCTTTGGAGGGAAGAATCTTAGAATCTTTATCTTGTACTCTAAGTAATAGGCTTTCATTGAATCGAATCATGAATCCTCCTTGGACAAACTCAAAACTGTTAATAAGCCAAGGGTCCTCCCAATACTGGTACTTGTTTCTTGTAAAAGTGGAGATTCAGGAGCTTTGCATCTCCACTAACTTACTTATGGGGTTATATTGGAACTCTTTCGTTGGTGTCTTTTCCACGCTCCAACTTTTATTGAATTCATAGAGGACAATTGCCTCAATGACCCTGCCGCTGTGCCGCACAACAAGAAAAGAACAGGTTCAACTTTTCCGAAGACTCAGCAGTAAGGCGAGTTCACCTCACCCGCTTTGCTTCCTACTTGTCACTGTCACTATTAAGGGTACGGTAAATCGGTACATGCAGTTCTCAGAGCGCGTAAAAGCTCAGGGAACAATTCTCTTATACAGGTTCCCATTTGATTCTATCCTTCCCTAAACAAATAATTCATTGCTTGGAGTCGGAAGCACTATCCTAATATTTCCAATGATTAAAGCCAGAGGCACGCAGTTGCATGAGTGGAATGTGAAAGCCTTTAAATCCAGTCAACAGGGCACTGCATATTTAGAGAGAGCGGACACGTACTCTTCGCCCTTATCGATCGGCGGTTTACTCAGTAGGTTAGCTGTAGATCGACCTACTCCGAGTACAGTGCATTCATTGGTCACCAGTACCGAAGTCATCCATGCCAGCATGCCAGCATACAATGTCATGTTGTGGTACCGCAAGAGCAGGAATTTCTGGGGAATTTCCATCCCATATTACAATTCACCTGGACGAGAGAGGAAGAAGTTAAAATTCTTCCTATGGATCCAGAGAGGTTTTTGCAGAACAATTTTTTGACAGCAGGTTCAGAGTTCGATGAAGGTGTTCAACAAGACTCCGCCCCTGTTTTGTTGCCTAGCTAGCCAGCTCTGTCTCCAGCGAGCTGCCCTGGATGTCTTGCCAGCCAGATTGCCATTATTACTATTTTATTTAAAATAAAAGGAGCTCAAGTAACTGTTGATCTCGCTCGTGCGCTTCCGCACCTCTTGCTGGGGCATGGGGCGCAAGGAGATGGGAAGAGAATTAATTAATGCAGAGTCGAGTCCAGTCTTTCTCAGAACTTCTGATGTTGTAGTTTGTTGTACGGCAGGGCTGTTGGAGTCCTTTGGTGTCTCCTGGACTGGTGTGGAGAAAGTAAGTGATTTGCGCTGGAGAAGCTGTGAAAGCCTTCCCTCACAGGCTCCTAGCTTTTAGCCCAGCTGTGAGGTCCTGGTCCTGGGTCCTCATGTTTTAACTTAAAAGCTTTGGGAACCCGAAATCAGAAATTGTTACTGGTACAAGGTTGCCTTCCGAATAAATCCAGATTCAAGATTAGTACGGTACATGTCATGTAGTCATCGATACAGAAACAGTCACAGTTAATGCTCCTTCCACTGCTCCAGAAGGTGAAGTCGGGAGTCGAATTCGCATTAATAATTAAATTTTGTGAATCACTGGATCGTGGTGGTTCAACTTACAGTTTCAAGTTTCTTTTCTTGGCCGTGGCAAATAAATAAGTAACACCAGCCAAAGTCGTTTAGCGCACTAGCTAGCTTCCAGCCTACCAGCCTACCAGGCTACCAGGTACCAGTAGCTAGCTAACTGGGCTTTGACCTCTCTCGCGCTGGTGGTTGCCGTGGACGTGGCGGCAGATTTTTCGCCTTCCTTCGCTTCCAAACAAATTGGGTACTTGAGCACCAAGAACTTGTGATTCGATTCGATTCAATCAGATTCTGGTTTTCTTTTCTTTGTTTCGACCTTTGAAGGTAAAAGGGCAGTAAATAAATGGTCGCTGCGAAGGCAAACGAATTCAGGCGACAGAGAAGAAGAGAGCGGCTATGCAAAATGACCCCAGACCTCGTTCACTTCTTGTCGCCTCAATGCAATGAGTGAGCTCCTCAATGTCTGTTCTTCTTTTTTGCCGCCTGGAATAAAGATCAACCGTTTACAAAGAAGCAGGAGACTCCTCGTCAGGGATCAAGATAATTGAACCCTAAATTGGAATGAGTACTACAACCCGGTACCAGGTACAGGTGCGAAGCAATGCATGTACCCTGAGCCCTGCTTGAGCATGCAGCCACAGCCAAAAAGTCGGAAAAGTTCAGTAGCTAGCCAAGAATCTAAGCAGAGCAATGCAAGGGCTTCCGCCGCAGATTGAAATAAAGTTAGAAGTGAAGCAGCCAACAGAAGTGGTGAAGTCCACTCCAAGTAAGCAAGAGCCTACACGGATTGTTGTTCCGAGGACCAAGCACCAACACGTGCCAACGCAAGGAGATCTCTCTCTTTTTTTTTTTTT